TATTACACACCAATGACAGCATAATATATATATATATATATATATATATATATATATATAACTAAATTCACATAATTGTAGAAACCTACAAACCTACACTTTATAATACTAAGAACTAGATATAAGTCAGTAAAACTAAATCTGTATTTCTGATTAAATCAGTTGAAAACGGAAGCCAAAACAGTAAATGATTAAATCTACATAAATCAATTTAGAATGAAGGCAATACATGAAATCTAATCCAATGTTTCACTCTAATGAAATGAAATTAGAAAATTAACAAACATCGAATAGCCGTTTTTACTAAAAAATGGAAATCGTTATAAAGACAACTCATGTTTGTATATTAATATGTTTATATCTACGAAACTAAATTTTAACAGTAATTTCTACCTCAATCAATTGAAAACAAATTACAACCCAAGTTTGAAGGTATATTTTTGCAATGGTTATTAAAACTAGATTAAACAAGTATTCCTATACTTCTTAATTAAAAATCATTTACAAAAAAACAAGGATTTTACAATTATTTCTGTGTAAACCAATTCCAACTTAAAATTCAAAGGACACTAAATAATGTTTGCTTAATAATGACAAAACAGATTACGTCCAAAAATATATGACGTTTAAGTAAGGTAGAATATTTAATAAATAAATTATAAATTATAAGGCAAACATATTTAATCATATGTACTCCTCACAAATTAAGCATTTCCTGTACAATGTCAATGTAAAGTTTTCCTTTTCATTCGGGCAATTTAATTACACACACACACACACACAAAAAGACACTCTAGTGATACTTAATATGTGCTTTTTGAATATAAGAACTGGAATACTTAACAGAGATTTAGTACAAATTATAGGAAGTATATTGCAGATTATTGGAAAACATAGTTTTTTCTTAGTAAAACAAAATCTCCGTAAATACATCCTAAACCTCTACCTTCAGAAGATCTTCCCAGGCTTGTCCCTGCTTCTCATCTAGTACGTTATTCATTGTTGAAGTAACGCTGTCTGTGAAATTCAGAATCTTTTCTTTGTCGGTCAGTTTTTCATCAAACTTATTCTGAAGTTCACTCAAAATATCGAGAACTGATGAAAGATCACCTCCGAACAAATCTATCTCGTTAGTCTTATTGGCTAATATTGAAGAAATATCCAAAAGGTCCAAGCCTTTATCTTTGTGAACCTTGATATATAGAATTCAAATGGTTACTGTATATTGTAAATTTTATCAGTTGTCAACTAATTAATCACACACACACACACACACACATATATATATATATATATGCACATATAAAATAATTATGTTGGTTCGAAAATTTAGAGGAGAAATAGCAAAAGATTTTTGGGCTGTCTAAAATGATTGGCCCTTAGTAACTATCAAACTATTTCCGACAAACAGTATAAGGAACTTTTATGTAAATAACACAGTGATTCTGTGTTTTGTCTTGTCCGGCGGAAGTGGTTAGAACATCTGGAAGTTTGTTTTGATATCTAGAAAAATCATATACAACACATGAACTATTATACATTTTGCTTAAGCTCATGAAGACAGGGTTTTGGAACACTCTAACACAATACTATCAGACAGGCGGTAGCACTGCCTATGTAGGGATGGCTCTGATTGTTAATCGAAATGGTATTTTAAATATCTCCTCAATAGATCATCAGAACTTTACAATAATATACAGTGTTTTCTTTTATAACAATATCTATGTAATAACTGAGTCACAAGTTCTGGGAATGTCTGTAAATATCATAGCAAAAAGTTTGAATTTCTTGTTCTTCTTTCTCTGCTTCTTTTCTATTACATGATAACTCAAAAACCAAAACAATGGTGTCAACCAATTTCACTGAGGTGACATAGTTTCAAACAAAATAGCTGCTTTTATAAGTATTATTGATAACTAGTAGTAATTTTAAAAACATCTTAATTCTAGTGTAAACGATATTATCATTAGCCATTGAAGTTAGCTTTCTTACAGACATTTAGTGTTCCTGCTAAAACGCTAAGTACAGGGGGAAACAGGAATTACCAGCCAATAATAGATAAACAATAAATATTACAGTTGGAACCTCATTGTATTTAGAACTTGATTATAAATACAACCTCCCTATGTCGATTAAAACACTGCATATAAAAAAACCAGAACAAATAAACAAAAACTTTTCAAAAAGGGATGGCTAATATCAATCCTTCAAAGCAATGCAAATAAGATAGCAGGGTTTGCATTTGCAGCACATCTACATAATAGCACAAGTACACAGTATAGTAAAATGTTAACAGACAAAAATAGGATGTCTTAAACTCAATTGTGATTGAATAGTTATATATATATTGCTGTATGTTTATTCTTGCCTGTGCTATTATG